AGATGAAGAGTAATGGGGGAGGGGGAGATCAAACACGGAGTCAGGATTTCAGGATGCGGATTGTTCATTCTGTTTAGCTAGCTACGTCTACTTGGTTAATGCAACATCTACGGCTCATGGATTCATGTTGTTCATTATTTCATTTCTTGTTCAGTTAAAAACATCATTTGATTGATACAAAAATGTATGTCATGATAAAAAATGTTTTATTAGTAACAAAATCCAAACAGCTTGGGTTAGTGCTTCTGGGAGTCACATATTTTGGATATGATTGATATTTAGGATTGATTTATTGCTTCTAGGCATTTTATTTGGGTTTCTTTGGCTCTTTTTTTAATTTGTGTTTAGTAAAAAAAAAAAAGGAATTAGCAGCAGCATATTCAAAAACTTGGCACACAGTGTTAGGGTAGAACTAGTGTTAGTCTTTTGTGTACAGGAGATGGTTAAAGACTGACCTAACCGTTTTGCTTTCACCTCCTAAACCAACCCCCACCCCACCCCCATCCTACTGCCTAGGCTCAGGACCAGAGAGTGGAGGGGGGCTGAGATGTGAGGAGGAAGAAGAGCAGGAAGAGGAGGGAGTGGAATGGATTTCCATCTGAAGAGAGGGTGGGGAGGTGGGAGTTGAGGAGGAGGATGCCAGTACATGGGAGTACGAGCATGGAGGAAAGAAGTTGAAGGCGTGCGAAAGAAAAGAGAGACAGGATACAGAGGCTATCTTCATAGACTTACACTACCTCGGTTGCTACGCTTTTCCCTCGCTGTGCAACACAAAGCCCGCCCGCACACAAGAAGGCAGTAATTAGAAAATACTTATTGTACATTGTTGTCCTGCAAGGCCAGGATGGGATTTGCATTGCACAGATCTGATGACCTAATACCCCCAAATAGCACATGCAGAATTATACTTAGATAACCCAAGGCTTCAGATACACACCAGAAAAGTATGTGGGGTCTCAGTGGGCTTATCCAAAACATTACTTTAAAAATACAGCTTGTTAACGTGCGGTTCCAATAGTGTATCATGCAGAATAATGTAGTTCAGTGATGCAGTTTTTACAGGTATTATGTGTGGCCTAGAGTAAAACAAACAAACAAAAACATAACACATGCACAAGGTGATTCCTGTTCATCTCTGCTTTCTCCTGGTGCCAGGTTTTGTTCTTACCTCAGACTCAACCCCTTTGTCTTCCAATGGGGTTGAGGGCCTTTTCTGGGCAGGCTCATTATGGCCAACAGAACTCAGCCTTTTCATGCAAGGGGGGTTTGCTGTGGAAAAGGAAGTCATCAGTTAACAATATAAACAAATTACGTAAGTTGCTGTCACACCCACAAGTTATACAAGTTGGTCCATATTTAGACGCCCAGAGGGTGGGCAGTTTTTATGGCTCTGGAATTATGACTGGATAAAAAACCCACTGAATGTAGATTCAGAGTCAAAATCATCAAATGAACAAATATAGGGTCAAAATTGTCAACTGTGTGTCTTTTATGTTGTGTTTATGTGAAATCCAACTGAACTTTACTGTACCCACCTTGAGACTTGTTGTTGAAGAAGTTGTAATACTGGGAGACGTATGTGATGATACTGAGTCGGTCAGGCACTTTCATGGACACCATGTCTTCTGGGTCCAACAGGGCTGGAATCCCCAGCTCTGCCTCTGCCACTTCAAATGCCTACGATGAAGCAAAAACATAGAAAAGGAGGGAGGTGGATGTGGTAGATTAGTAAGAAGCTGAGAAACTGTAAGCAGTGTTTACACATTGCTGGCATTCTGATTTTCCTCAGTGTCTTTTTCCTCACTATGGTATAAAGTAGCTGCAATGGAAACAGTGAGGTCTGTTGATCATCCTGAGTAACCAGGACAGTGTTTATGGAACGACCCGCTGCAGTTAAGTTTAAAATACTCTTCAATGCTCCTACCAGCACAAACAAAAGTCCATTTACCTTCATTGTACTGGGGTGGCAGGAGAGAGCTCAGACACCGATACCTGATATGATAAAACTATGTGCATGGCTCGATAATGTCAGGGTTCAGTGAGAAACTATGTTTGGTTTGGGAAGTGGAGTTACCGCATACCATGAAAAGTTTTACCCAAACTAAGCCCTTAAACTGGGCATGCACAGAGTTATTTGTCTCATGTAAGCTGCATGATGTCCTCAGATGCTTGCCAGAGCCCACCAACCAGCACATACTTCATGTCTGGAATAATGTAACTCTGCTCCCAAAGCGTCAGTCATTTGCTCATAATGTAATGTTTGGTCCTTTGAGGATAACCATCAGTGTAATGAAACCTTCCACTAAAGAAATGAGAGAGCGGGTAAGGTTACATAACACGGAAACAATCGCTGGCAGTCACACTGAAACGATCCAGCTAACAAATGCAACACATGGGCAAAGTGGAACTAAACCCAAATTAATCACAATGCATTGTACTGCACTGTACAAACTGTTTTACAGCTACAACTGTTCCTAGTTCAAGCTACCTTGTTTCCTGCAATTCACTGAAAATGAATTAATGCTGTAGAAACATTTTCACTACACTCACTCTGCTATCCTTGTTGAAAATAGGTCCATTTTGTATGAACTAACTTCAAGTGAAATGTGGATATTTTCATTAATAGTCCAGATAAGCGCTGTAGTTCTTAATGTCTATGAATGACTATAGATTAAAATATCTGGTTCTTTGTAGTTAGTCCGAATCAGGATGCGCCTGTGAGTCAAACTCCTTCCAGAAAGACACAGTGAAGCCTTGGATGGATTAATACAGGTCAGGGTCACCCAGGCTGCCCTCAGGACCCTCGCTTAAATGCAGGTCTGACCCTTTGGTAATAAACAGACATTTCCTTTGAGGATGAGACTTTGTTTTCATGTTGGGACACAATTCACAATTTGAACAGATTTAATCAAGGACAGCTAAACAAGAATAACAGGTAGGGACAGACAGAACGAAGACAAACTGAAACGGACAATTACAGAAACTTCAGAGTGACTCTACAGGAGCAGTAATATGTGTCGTTATTAAAATCTGACTTAGATTTCAGTGCTTTTCACATTAACAGTCATAGCTTACTCACTCAAACTCAAACCTAATGGATACAGTGAATTACTGTGTTTGTTTCTGATGCTACCACCAACTACCTCACTTTTGTAAACAGCAGCAAAGAACAGCCAAAGCTCAGCTCAGAGTGAAAATGAGGAGACTCCCATTTCATCCCTCAATGTTCTGTTGGCTCACAGACAATGTGGAAAAACCCAACAAGGGATGTGATTTAAAGAAAAGTGTTTCGCTGGGTTCAATCCACTGACATATAACAAACTGCAAATTCAGCACTTTGCACTTGAAATCCTCTTTACGTGGTCTCTCCAGAGGCTTATGTGAGGAAGGTTTTTTATGATTCTGAATGCTCTGGTTTCCTCTCTCTCCCCGTTTGCCCTCGACCGGCTCCATCATCAGGATTAAGTAACACTTCTCTCCACACATACGGTCGAATCCACTGAACTCACACCCACCACGGCTGCATGCAGTCAGAAGGCTTAATGACTGTAGAGCTGACTGAAGCACAGGCGGGAACGAGCGATAGATCTGAACTAGTTCATAGGTGATTTAACCCTGCAGGTCACACAAAATGAAATCATCACGCAACACGAGATCACAGGAGTGTTAAAACCACACAACATACAGCTACATGGACTCACCAGTCGGTTGTTCTCGTAGACATTGTCTTTAGACAGCGAGCCGAAGTCTCTGCAATGACAGGACAGAAAATGTTGTAAAAACTTTGAAACAAGAAATGGCTGAGTGTGCAGGTAGTCAGTGTAACCACGGTGTCTTCTTCTATTTCAGGACCCTTGCAGAAGTAACTGTCCAAGCCGTGCTGATATGAGACGGTGCTGTATATAACTTGCTGACCTATTTTCACTTATGTTGTGAACCATCAAAAAGCTATTATTGGCTTGACAGCGTGACGGGCAGGAATGGTGAGCAGTTGAGCTTCCCAACTACCGCAGCTGACAATTGGTCCCAAACCCCTCGTAAATGATGCCTCATGTGAAAGACTGCCGGGACGAGAGGAGAGAAGTGGTTGCATCAAACAGGCGTGATGGCTGATAATTACAAGGCTCTGCTGTGAAAAGCCTGGAGCGAGGAACTAAAGCCAGACCTCTCAGCGGTAAACATCCTGCAGTAAAACTGGAAAATGTCTGAGGTGTTCGGGGATGAAAGTGTGGCTGTGTGCATAAATACGTGTATGTTGACACAAGTGTGTGGTAGTAGGACAACAGTACGGTGGAAAAAAACACACACACACACAAAACCAACACGACCCTGGTGAGAGCTTGTGGAGACCGTGTGGAGCTCTCAAGAAGGCAAAACCGTATGAATGAGCTCCGTGTTGGAGCCACACAAAGTGACCTCTGTTCTCTCTAATCTGGTTCCCATGGTCACAGACACACAGCGCAGCAGCTATAATGTCAAGATCATGTCACAACAAGTCCACTATGTCACATCTACCAACATAGCCAGGTGGAGCTGCAGCAACTTAAGAAAAACATCGCACAGACTGTCGTGAGTTCACATCTTTGACACTGACAGACAGACAGACAGAGACATGGATGATGAGGCGCAGTGTGCGATCCAAATTGCAAACCTAATCCACTGTGACTCAGAGTCTCACTCTGAGGTTTATTTTGGGAAAGACGACTGCTGAGGATCGGTGTGTGTACTGTGTGTCAGGCATTTCAAATCCACATGATCAAAACCTGGGCGAACCGGTGTTTCTGCTAAATCTGCTTCAGTCACACGGGAAAGATTGCGCTACTGTACAGGATTGGGATTTGGTGATGTTGTAAGATTAAAAATGCGTCATAATGTGGAATACATGCGTCACAATCAGGAGCTTTTGTACAGGAGTAGGTGAGGCAAAACCAGTGCATTATGGAGACAACCGTCGACGCAGAAAGGACAGAAAAATGAAAAAGTCAATCTAAGTGGATGATGTGTCTGTTTGCGCTGCTATATTGCACGATGAGGTTTGAACAGGAGCTGCATTATATGAACCAAACTGAATTTAAATGTGACTGACTGTCCCATGCACTTTAGTTAACCTACTTTGCTCCCTCTCCACAGGGCTGAGTGACCGTCGGCCTCGGCTGAAACTCAGCAGAGGCCAGTCGCCGCACTGACGTCTCTCCTCTGCGTGATGTATTTTGATGAGAATACACTGGCTGTGGAGTGCAGGGCAGCGCTACAATGGCCCAACATTAGAGCTAAATCCAGTTTGACAGGCGGAGGTCTCAGCTGCAGATTAGCCTGACGGACTGTCTGTCTGGATCAGAGTGAGTTCGGTTGGGCCACTGTAGCTCCACAAAGGGCTGAACAGGGATGCATGCTGGGACACAAATTGAAGAGGCAGAGCTGGAGAGCTGGGTGTTTAGGATTTGCCCACTCTCTTACTTTGGGCTTACTGCCGTGCTGTGTTTGCAGATATATTCCACTTCACTGACCGGTCCTTCACTGACCGGTTGGGTGAATGTTTGCCCTTCTCCCACCCAAGCATGGCCCAATTTGCTCACTGAAGTCTGGACCACCTGACTGGTAGCAGCATGAGCAAGACGCTAACTGTCCAAAATGACTCCATCACACAGTTTTTCCTCCAGGACAATGGAGATACATAACGTGTTGTTTCCAGGGTGTTTTTTACACAATGCTCCAACAACAACAACAAAAGGTTGTTGACTTGTTTCGGATGCAATAAAACCACTAACGATGCTGTCAACAGAGTGCACAACCCACTGAGCTACACAGAGCCACATTGTGTCACACAGGACTTCTCCACAGAGATGTCCAAGTGAGTCACATGAAGATCAGCAATTTCATGTGTATACTGTCACAGCTGTGAAACATGATGGAAACTTTTCAAATCAGAGGGTTTATCTATATCCACACACAAGTTCTACAAACATATTTCTTACAATCACATGATGGGCCGCTTCTGTGGAAGTACTGAGAGGCCGACTCTCACTAAATGAAAACATCATTTGTCTTTTTGGTGTATTTGATGGTCAAACTCCCTTATAAAGCATTAATAACTGAGTAAGGTATTTTCTGTTTCCTGTCCCAACCAAAATAATGGAAAGTAATCATTTCCTCATCTCTGAAGTCATTTTAAGTCACACTGATACTGCGGTTGTGTTTTGTGGTGGTTTCTGTACTGTGTGTGTGTGTAGGTGTGAAATGCAGAGAGGAGGGGTGTTGTTACAGACAGGGCATGGCTGTCAGCCTGAGTTAATTACAGCACACTGGCCTCTCACTGTACAATGTTCAGAAATGTTTTTACTGCTGTGTTAGGCTATAATAAACCCACACAATACATACAACGTGGACAAATATAACATAAAGAGGGGGTTTTTTTTGGTTTAACAAAAGTTATCCAGCCATTAATCGACAGCTTTCTACAAGTATATTGAACAAAAGAAAACCCTTAAGGAGTTTTCACAGAATACCATTAATTTATATCTGAATGGAATAATATACTAATTACTACAGAAACAGTTACTTGAAGCCAATTCAAAGACAACAATAAGCAGCCTGTCACTAAAACCGGACAAATCCTGTTTATCATAGTAAACCACGGTACCGTTAAGTTGAACCACTGTAAACTGGTTTCTCTTAGCTCGACATTAACTCAGTTAGTAAAAACATCCAGGTTACTTACATCAGCTCTGGTCTGTAACGATGTATTATGGCACAAAACGCCAGACCGTCCCGAAAGGACGTTGACATGTCCCTTATTTCCACATCGTTGTAGTTCTCACACTGTATCCGACACCACTCCTGGAGAGCCTTCAGAGATCCCATCATACTGTTGTCACAGAAATCATAGAAAGAAACTATTCTTGGCAAATAAAGGCGAGTTTCTTTTGTCCCAGGCGAGACAGGAGACGACACCAGGTCTTTTCTCCAGTCACCAACCAGTCATCAGCAGCGGTTCAGTGGAGGGCCGACCTCCAGGCAACACCCGACGTCCCGATCCGGTACATTCATGAACAGCCAGCGAGTCACGTTAAACACTAGCATGGCTTGAAAGCTAGCTGGGTGTTAGCTCACTTTTGCAACAACAATGTGCATGATGCTCCTACTTTATCTCCTGTACCCAGTTATTCAGATAGCGGTATCTGCATCTAAACGGGGACTTTGACCAGAGGCAGGGGGTTAAAGACGCCGCTGATGATGAGTTGGTAGTGGTAGCTTGCCAACAAAGTTCTTCACGTAGTCGACTTACAGCTAACTAGCTGTTAGCCCGCTGCTAGCCGGCTGTGTGCAGTCTGCTTGTTGTTGGTGATCGACTCTGCCAGGTTCAGGGCGATGATACAGTTTCAGTCGAAGCAGAGGTGACAGTTTCCTCCTTGAGGTGGACCACAGCACGGCGTTTAGTCTGCTGCTGCTGCTGCTGCAGTGACTGCAAAGGCTGTTCAAACCAGACACTGTAACGCTGGATTTAAAAAAAAGTCTGTTACCGAGCGCTACTCGCGACGTCGCCTTGGTGACAACCAAATTAAAGCCAACTATAAAAAATATAATAATATCCTGAACAATGGAGGTTGAACAAAGCAGCCCAGCTGCGTTAAGTGAAGAGGTGAGTGAAGAGTTGTCAACCTCTCCTGCTGCCGCCCTCCTCAATGTCACGTTGTCGTCCAACCGGTGGAGCCAACGTTACAGTCTCGTTACAGTCTCGTTACAGTCACGTTACCGTTACGTTACAGTCACGTTACAGTTACAGTCTCGTTACAGTCACGTTACAGTTACAGTCTCGTTACAGTTACAGTCTCGTTACGTTACCGTTACGTTACAGTCACGTTACAGTTACAGTCACGTTACAGTCACGTTACAGTCACGTTACAGTCTCGCTGCTCCAACGGTTCCAACGGCTCCAACGGCTGTCCACGCGATATGTTACAAAGAGTCACGCGATAGTGGCCACTTGTTTAGAATTCCCGAAAGATGGCGGCGGCGCCTCCGGATGAGGCTAGCCTACAGTCTCGCATCAGTAAGTCATCACACTGTACAATATCGGGTTGAACGTAAAGCAGTGGCCGACCCGCTGTTAGGGGACACGGAGATATATTCTCAGTGTGTCGGTCGTAGCGCTGTCTCTGAGGAGTTCAGGGGTTTTTTTTGAGAGTCGAGAGAGCGAATGTCATCAAATCAAAAAGTGCAGTTGTCGATAAGGAACAAACTCAGATTATATATCACCGTCGCTGTGCTGCGCTCATAGTTTGCTCTCTCGTTATGTCGACTGCTGACAGTTCGCAGATAGTGATGCTACACGAACATGACATTTTAAATGTTAAAACCTGCTAATGTACAGCTCAGTGCTAACAGAATCGCGTAGCTAGTTAGCTCCTGAACGAACCCAAAACGAGGAACCGTACCGTCCGTAGACTCCGGATGCACTCACACATTTTCTGCCAACACGAGCAGCTCTTAATCTGCTCCCAACCAGAGAATGGGTAGTTTGCATATTGCGAACAACCCCAGGCTACAGCTGCTGACAGGGGTCACAGGCGTTCAGTCACACTTGAGATTGAAGTCTCAACCTAAAGCTGTCAAAGCCCAGCTTGGTGAGGTTTGACAGGCTTCACATACAATCTGAAATGAAGACTGTCAGGAGTTTGGTTATGTTTTTGTAAATGCCCTCACATGCTGCAGTTTTAAAGTTGTGTTTAGTCTGATGTCTTTTTCCTTTTACACAGACAAGGCCACAAACCCTTTGAATAAGGAGACTGACTGGGACAATATCAAGGGATTTTGTGATCAGCTTAAAAATGAGCCAGAAGGGTGAGATGATGATGATGATGACTAAATAATATCACACAATTTTAGAGTAGTGGTTCTGCTTCACATCATACAAAATGCAGAAACAAGTCAGTGCTGTGCCAACTGTTATTTGATAGATTATCCAGTTTCACAGCTGTCTCATCCTGTAAACTGTGTAATATTCCAACATAATATGTCTCCTTCACATCAGTGGTGTTTTACTTCAAGCATTGTCAAATAATTTCTCTATGTTTAGTCTTTTTGTGGTATATTTCAAAGTCATATTTTGACTCCTTTTTTGTCTGTCTGTAAAAATGAAGGTTACATTTAGTTTTAATCTCTCTTTAGTCCCCAGCTTGCAACCAGACTTCTGGCCCACAAAATCCAGTCACCCCAGGAGTGGGAGGCTATGCAAGCGCTTACGGTGAGAGATCATCCATCAAAACTTCAATTCAGAGTGTTGCTTGTGTGTGAAAAAACGCCCCCTTTAAAAGCAACGAGTCATTATTTTTTACCGTAAATATTTTCTTTTTCTGTGAAGGCTTGTCTGTACAAAGGTAAAACAAATAAACTTGTGACCATTCCCAGGTTCTTGAGACGTGCATGAAGAACTGTGGGAAGCGTTTTCACACTGAAGTGGGAAAGTTTCGCTTTCTCAATGAGCTCATCAAGGTGGTCTCGCCCAAGGTAATGATCCATATCTTTTCTGCTGTCATACCAGTTCGTCTGAAACTTTACATCCATGAGAACTTTTTCTGTAGAGTTTTATTAACCAGTTAAAGTGGCTGTCAAAACCTTAGGGGAGGGGAAGAAAACCACATACCAGGGTCAGTCAGCTGTCAGTGTATTTATGTAGTTGTCGTAGTTGTTAAAGCATAAACACATTTTTCTTTGCATTAATCCCCTCGTCTCTGCAGTATTTGGGTGCCCGGGCTCCAGAGCCAGTGAAGAAGAAGGTGTTAGAAATGGTGTACAGCTGGACAGTGAGGCTGCCTGATGAGACCAAGATAGCAGACGCCTATCAGATGCTGAAAAAACAGGGTGAGCCGCTCCAGAAGCTTGAGAACATGACTAAACATCAAGATAATAGACTATGACAAGTTGTTTAGCTCGAAGTTGCTCATTTTATCCATGGTTATGTGCATGGTGTGATATTCCACACATTTACCTTACAGTGGCTTGTAAATATGTTTTTTAGTCCGCATATTTCATTGATAATGGGTTTTGGTTCCTTATATTTCCCTTGTTTTACCAAATACTGTTTTGTACAAGTTAGTATCAGTTCTCCTTTTTAATGATGATGAGCCACCAGCATGAGAGCAATGTCCTTAGTCATGCTTAGTTGAATCTTGTGTGATCTTAAAAATGCAGTTTCCAAACAATAGCTGTTCAGAACTCATGTAGGGTTGTGTATCAATCATATAGCACACTGGCTTCTGGTGTATTTTGACAGAATACGACTGAATCTGTTATTACAGTGTGCTCACATTTATCTAAAAGAAGAGTGATAAAGAGTGCTGCAGGGATGACGTATCTTTGTAGGCCAACACGGAAGTTATTATCGCCCTGGTTCCTTCAACAGAAGGCCATTGGGATTTGTCATTTGGATTGTGGAAGCTGTGGACATTGGTTTATGATACCTACATGTTTATGTTAAATCTTCACAAATGAACACCACCTTTATGTATTTTGAAGTGTAAATGGAAATGCTAGAAGTAAAAAGCTAATGTTTGCCTGACTTTAAATTCACCACCACTAATCTTCCAACTTGTAATTTGATCTTGTAATTAAGGAGCGCTGTGGTAGCTCACCTGGTAGAGCTGGCGCCCCATGTACCAGGGCTGAGTTCTTGCGGCAGCAGCCAAGGGTCCAACATGTGGCTCTTTGCTTTGTGTCATCCCCTCTCTCTCCCCCTTCCCTGTCTATCTTGAGCTATCTTATCAATTAAAGGCAATAAAAGCCCCCAAAACATATAAAAAAAAA